CGGCGGTAATCACTTACCATCAGGTGTGCTGTATGATCGTTTGCCCCCTTTTCCTATTTAAAAAAAAATGCACTGTCATAGTGGACGTATATTGGCATCTACCATTATTTTATTTGCTTATTTAATTACTTATCAAAATGTACAATATTTGTGTACACTAAGTTAAATTTATATGTTGTTAATATTAAAGGTATCTACATTAAATGTTTGTTTAGTGTAGTGTAGTAAACATTTGCTGGCAAGAACAGATACGATGGTGGGCTCTACCCATACACAGATACACTCCTAGGCAAACAGGAGTCCTACTGTCTATTTGTATCCTAATCTTAGTTATTTTATCTACTTTCATTTAAATATATTTGCTGGCAATAACAGATAAGATGGTGGGCTCTACCCATACACAGATACACTACTAGGCAAACAAGAGTCCTACTGTGTAACTATTTGTATCCTAATCTTAGTTATTTTATCTGTTTTTATTTAAATACATTTGCTGGCAAGAAGTGATAAGATGGTGGGCTCTACCCATATACAGATACACTTACATTAAATCTTTTTTCTGAATTTCTATTTCATTTAGTTCACACGTCTCCTCACTCATAAACATGCTTTCAAAATATTCCTTCCATCTCTTTAGACTCAACACTTCATCATTCAGAATACAGCCATTCTCGTCTCGTATCGCATTCAATCTAGGCTGTTTTGAATGTCCCCTGGTATTTCTTACGAGTTTCCAGAACATTTTAATATTTGCTTGGAAGTTACGCGATATTCTTCTATCATTCTTATCCGTTCTTTCTTGCTTTTTTCTTTCAACTAATTTTGTTACTCTCTTATTTAGACGTTTAAACTCTGCCTTTTTTCTTTCAATCTCATCATTCTTACCGCCAAAATTACCAGCTTTGGTCGCTAGTAAATCTAGCCATGCTCTTTTCTTTGCTTCAATTTCCATACGTACCTCATCATCCCACCATAACATATTGTCTTTCTTTTCATTCGTTCTCTTACTAACACCACATACTACGGTAGCTGCACCCACCAAACCTTTCTTAACATTATGCTACACATTCTCCAAGTCTAACTCATTCATACACAATTCATCCAAATCACTTATATTTTCTCTCAGTCCACATTTGTACTTGTCTTTCACATCTTCATCTTGTAACCTCTCAATTCTTATACGCTGTAACGCAGTGGTAGACACAGATGTCCGATGCCGCCAACGTCCGAATAAACCCCTAATTCGGCATAAGACCAGGGAGAAAATCCTAGTGTGGGGTTAACGTTTTTATAAAAGAATTATAAAATAATAGTGAATATTAATGGGGTTGTAAATAGACATACGATATATACGATTAGCTTTATTTATTCTTTACATGCATCATAAACTGGAATAAATACCATTAATAAGAACTTAACTTATTTTAAAGTTAAAGGAGTTATAAGCGATTAGTCTATGTTTTAAAATTGGGTTTTGATTTTAAAGTTTAGCAAAGTATGTACGTGCATTTCTATCAAACATTTGATGTAGGGTAACCTGTCCAACAATGGGCCACCTAAATTTTAAAACTTAATAACTTCGCTGTTTCTTAAGATATTAGGTGTAAGTTTTTAGGCGAAGATAGCAAATTTAATTGGCTACAGATTAACATTATTTTTTTCTTAAAACATTTGTAGATATATCATGACTAAGGTTTTTTTAAAAAATGGGAAATGATCCATTGTGTACTTATGTGAGTACACAATGAGCCTAGCTATATTTAACAATGAGCCAGGATCCAATGTACTTATTATTTTGTACTATTTGCAATACATTTGGTAATTTTATTAATAAAACAGTGCTTTTTATTTATAACCTTCGTTTTATTAGTTTATTTTTGTTATATTAAAAAAAATACAGAACATTTTTTTATTTTGAGTGAGTTTTATTAAAGTAAGAGAAACTTAAACATTGTAATAGTTAAAAAAATATTATCAAACACTAAAAAAACAACAAAAAATAATAACAATCAGTCTCATAATAAGTAATACTATTATAGTAAAGAAAACTGTAACGAATAAACATCATAGCTAGTCAATGACATTACTATCGCAAATTTAACTTTGGTGACATGCGAAGTGGGAAAACATAAGTAGAGTTTCGGGTTTTTGTGCCATTTATTTTTGGTAGCGGTAGAATCATTTTTATATCTGTAATATTCACTTCAGCAAAATCCGGTTCTAATGGCATGTAGTATTTACATTTCATATTCTCTTTTACTTTAAGTCTCATAAAAGATGCCACGTAGGTCTCAGAGTTCAAAACTTCTGTTATTACTGCAGCATAATATATTTTTATCTTTTTTAGTATTGAATGATACCAATACGTAATCATTACATTTAGGCTTTCTTTCTAGTTCTCGAAAGTTTTCGTTTACCATAGGTAAATTGTCAGCATCAAGATCTTCATCTTCATCCTCTCTACCACTTATATCAGACTCGCTCAAATCTATAACCTCAAAATTTTCCTCTTCACTTGTTTCAGGATCTGATGGAATTACAACCTTCTTTGCTTTCTTCTTTTTCCTTGGTTCTTCGAAATTTTTGTCTTGCAGTATAGGTCGTTTAATTGCACTTGCCGCAGACTTCTTGTCTCGTGTTTTTTTTCGTTCTTCAGCTATCTGATTCTTTTCTGGCGTATCCGTAGCAATCATGCTTTTTCCTAGTTTTCTCGGCTTACGACGTCCAGCTCGTGGTCCACTTTTTTAAGGACAGCATAAATTCTTTAGGTGATTTAAATGTCCGGTCGCCTGTATCTTTCAGAACTTCGTGCATAATTGAAGATGGACTTTGAGAATTTTGTGCTTCAAAAAGAGCCATAATGTGTTCAGGAGTAGTAGATTCCAATAAAGATGGACTTTCAGCACTCCGGATTCCAGTATTATTACCTCCAACATCTTCAGAAGGGTTTTCCTCAAACAGTATTGGACTATGAGCACAGGTAATATCTGATGATGGACTAACAAGATTCTTTCTGTCGTTTAATTGTTCAGAAGGTGCAGCCATTAATTTCGCAGATGACGTTTCCGGTTGGTCTCTATCAGTAACAGCAGATGGCATGAAGTCAATTTCGCTAAAAACGTCTGCGTCGAACGGGAAAATACCACATTTTTTAAAAGCAGAGGTTATATTAACTGGCGTCATTGATTTTGCATATGCGTATCCTACGCACTCGGCTATATTGTATATAGTCATCTCTTTTCCGGGATTTCTCATTAACCATGAATCTACGGCACTATTATAATAGGCTTTGAAGGGACCAATTAAGCCCACGTCAAGAGGTTGCATTTTACTTGTTGTGTGGGGGTGTAATGTAAGGATTGTCACTCCAGAACGTTTCGCCATGTCCAAAGCTTCAATACTTAAATGGGATTCGTGATTGTCCATGATTAATAAAGCTGGATTTTATGAACTTGCAGAGGTATGTTTTATAAAATGCTTCATTACTTCAATAAACAACTCTGCGTTCATCCACCCACTTGGATTAGCAAGTCCGAGGGATCCAATAGGGGCGCCAGTCATCATATAATCCTTTAAGTTCTTCCTTGGAAAAACTAACGCCGGAGGTAAGGCTTGCCCAGACGCACAGACAATAGCACATGTTGTCACTAATGTACCCTTCTCTCCACTAGTTATTTTACAAATATTCTGGCGCCCTTTAGGTGCTATAACTTTTAGCGGCTTCTGAACGGTTGTAGTAGCAGTTTCATCCAAATTGTAGATTCTACAGCCATTTCCAAAAGATGGGTGGCGTTCCATAACGTTCTTTAAGTTATCAAAAAACATCTTAACTGTGTCTTTGTTAAAAGCGGTGGCACGAGCAAGGCTGCAGGATTCTGGTTTTTTCAAGGATAAATCCAGATTCCTTGATCTATATGACCGAAGCCATTCAAGGCCTGCCATTTTTTCACGATTCCAACTATCAGGAGTTTTAATAATATTTATAGTTGCCATTTGATAAGCAAGGCTTCGAACGTCTTTAGTGGATACCTAACCCATAAAATTTTAACGCACATTCTTTGATATATTCTGTCAGTGATTTTTCTTGTTCATGAGTAAATATTTTGTTGACATCATAATTGGGTGTCAATCGCTGCTTGTGTAAATCCGCAGTACTAACATTTACATTTTTTTTAATGTAACGTTGCAGTGTTGGATAGCATACATTATACTCTTTAGCTGTTTTTCTGATACTCCATCCTAGCCTATAATGTCTGATAGCCTGAAGCACGTTATCAGCAGTGTGGTTACCTTTCTTTCTTTTATTAACTTTAGTGCGCGCCATCTAAAACAAAAAGTAAAAATTACAATGCGTCAGTAAATATTTAACTAAAAGAAAACGTATAAGAAAAAATGTTAGTAGGTTATTTGTGTAGATATAATAAAAAACATAAACACTAGCAATGAGCCACATGGCAAACAATGAAACACGATTCGTACACAATGAAACATGGCTCATTGTGTACAACGGGGTTTCGTTTCATTGTGTACTATATGTGACATATTTCTAAAACCTTGAAATAAAAATGTAAAATAAAAACAATCAAGTATGTTTTGTACGTAACTGAAATCTGTAATACATGTACAATGTCAAGCAATATTAAGAAAAAAAAAAACTTTAACACATAATAATGAAAAATCGACAAATATTATTAAAAAATCTTACTTTTTTGCGTAAAATCCGTATAATGACCGCCACGTATCTGCTTCGCACGCGCCGCAGTCGCGAACTGGGGCGGTGGGAGGGGACTTGGGGCCGCGTCTTTACATGTACTGTGCACTATCTGGCAACTTCGCATTTTTTGAAATATAGCATTGTTTCATTGTGTACTACTGGCTCAATGTTGGACAGGTGACCCTATATAAAAGCACCTTATAATTTATTTGGTAATTTAATTATTTTTTGAGAAAGACAAAAACAATAGCAATAAATATAATTAACATTGACTTAATAATAGGTACTAATTATAACTTAGAACATAAATGAAAAACTCATGACGAGCAAAATGGCTCAGGACCATGCTTTGCGGTAGTCTGTGGAGGAGGATGTTCAGTAGTGGACTTGTGAAGAGCTGTAATGATGATGATGATTCGAAAACTTGCACGATAAAATTATAAGAAATCGACGCTTTTTTATATAGGATAGGGTGACAAACGAGCACACAGTTCACCTGATGGTAAGTGGTTGCTGTGGCCCACAGACATCTACACCTATCCTCGATTACGAATCAAAATGCAGATGCATTGTCACCCGTGAGGACTAAGATGAAATGCCTCGTTTCCTTTAAAAAGTGTCTCTGGTTCTCTACACTCACTATACGAAACACAGCATCATTAAGCTATTATTTTACATTGATATTCTGTGAGAGCGTGGTCCTTCCCCGGTCGAACCGACCCATTCGTGCTACAACTATACTTCTAATATAACTGCATGGTTCTACCACGTATAAACGACGTGCTTCATTTTTTTATTTTAAAATTGTTCTCGTAATAATCTGATTGCAAATAAATGTTCATTATTTTTTTTATAAATAGCTTATCGATTAAAACAAATATTTAAAAATAATTAAATCGCGCTAATTAAAGTAGTAGGAATGTTTAAAGTGGAAATTGGCACTAAAAGGCTGTTAATTGGGTCATCCACCCTACAAAGCGTGAATATAAAATTTTAATCAGATGCGTGTAATCACTCTGGGAGCTTGTAGCAAACTAAACTCGCGGCCAACGTGTGGACGCGGCGACCAAACTCTGCCAACAATCCTTTGATCTTTTGTAAAAAACCGACACCACACGGATCTCCCGCCAACTTGCGGGCCATCGTTCCAATACATACCAATGAAGCCCAAACACCCCGTCTACACGTTGGCCAATGCTATTGGCCACTACATTCGCCACTGTGTTGGCCAACGTGTAGAGGCGCCGTTATGTCTGATCTCTCTCCGGTTGTGTCAAATGGCTGATCCATCGGACTATAAGAGTATAGAATAGAGAGTGCATACGCACTCGTGGACTATAACCCAGTTCACCGTAACCAAAATTTGTAGGATATGTGTCTGGAGTCTGGAAAATATTATCACTTTGTCACGTATGAGATAGTGCTGAGAGCTTTTTAAAAGCCATATTCGAGGCTTTTGGTTAAAATTCAACCGTTCAACAATTTTATAGTCTAGATTTATTTTTTGGGTAAACCGTCTTGTGGCTGAAGGATATATCCTTAGCAAGTTGTAATAGCCTTTACCCGCCTTTAAGCGCGTCGTATTCTGATACTAAATAGCAATTGATCAATTATTTAAATAGGCCATGACACCCGTTTCTCGACTCTACAGAGTCAGTAATTCATTCATGGAGCTATTAGAACAAAGTACCAGAAAATATATACATGGTTTCTCTATTTTCAAGTTAAAATATTTTACTCAAAAAATACCGTATAAAAACCCCAATAAAGCTAACAAAGAAAAGTCAACAGAAACCTGAAAATTGTATACACATAGTTGTAGTTGATTTGTGGCTAATTAGTTGTCAAAATTCGCGGTTTGATTTCTTCAACTAGTTTCGATAAAATCGAATTAGCTATCTCAACGTAAAAATAGCAGTAAGATTTTCTAATCAACCCGGCCGTAGGGGATAAAACATTTTAGAAAATTCTTCTGTTGTGATAAAATGTTTATTACTGGAATGCCCATTTATTACTGGAATGGAAAAAATAATACGAATATATATATATTAAAGATAATCAAAAATTAATAGAAATCTAGTTACGTTCTAATACTACTTCTGAAGTTCCAAATTAAAGGGTATTTTACAGCTCGTTAGCAAATAAATCAGGAACTCCTAGAAAGCCTATAACAAAATATAATCGATCGATAAGCTGCGGCAAGTAACCTGTTGCTGTTTATAAATGTACATGCTATTTTATACAAGAGATTTTTTGGGTAAAAAAACAGCCGATATGTTGTTGCTAGTCGGTAATGGAATCAGCAAAATCTGATAATTCAGTAACAAAATGTAATCGACCGATAAACTGCACCACTGGATATTTTTTGAGTAAAAATACAGCGTAAATTTTGTTGCTGGTCAGTAATAGAACCAGCAATTCATGAAGAGCCGTCAACAAAATACGACTATAAACAAAACTATTTTCGCCACTGTTTTCGCGAAATTTAACATTTACTGTCAAACCCTATATTCATTTTAGTCATTCATTTCCGACATCTTGAAACGGATTCTAGTTTAAACCTGAGGCTGTATAAAATACTCTTTGTTGACCTAACTGTTGACAATAATTTAAATAAAGTATTATCTCTATACCTGTCTCTTTCTATTGCCATTTAACGAAGAGAGAGAGAGAGAGAGAGAGAGAGAGAGAGAGAGTAACTCAAAGCATCTCTTAAATTAACATTGATTTTATTAATAAATGGGTAAATAATCTTAAAGCCTTAAATAAAATTAAAAAAAAATATTTAGATGTTTTTATTAATATAACTGTATAACTAAACAAATGTAGTAAAAATAATACTTATAGTGGCCATACGTTAATACCTCATTAGAACTCATACTTAAATAATCTATTATAACTCAAATAAATGCTACACATGTTCCAATCTAACACTAGCTCTTGAACTGAAAAAACTGTCTCTTTTTTTCTAAAAAACTATTCTAATTTGTAATTTGTAATTTAAAATTACTTGGTGCAGCCATTTTATTCTGTTGATGGCTCATTTTGAGTTGCTAGTTCAATTACTGACCAGGAACAAAATATCTAATGTGTCGATTTCTAAAAATCTCATGTAAAGATAGCATGCACACATTAATTGGTTACTTATTACTTGGTGCAGCTTATCGATCGATTTCATATTTTTGCTGACTCTTTACGACTTGCTGGTTATATTACTGACCTAGTAAATTTAATATATTTTATCTTATTGCTGTTTAAGAGCAAATTGTTGGCGTTAAATCAATGCAATAATTTCGATAGAGCATTATTTACGTCATAATTGAATGCC